AAAAATATTTATTTTTTTTTAATTTCCATATGTCAAAATGTAAATCATCCATTTCTGTGATTTCAAAGCAAACAACCGTCTATATTAATGTGTGCAATTAGTAAATAATATATTAAATTTAAGTCAAATTTAATACATTTTCTTGAGTTTTTAAAAGTGATGATTTAAAAATGATTAAAAATAACTCAATTAGGAATAATTTGACTTATAAATTTAACAGTGTAAATTCAGAATCAGGGGAGACACAATTTCCTTCAAAAATTATATTAATTAAACATTCCTTATTTTAACATTCCTAGATACTAGATTATGAAATTGTCGTTCACATGAAAAATGTTTTCTCTATACTATTATAAAAATACACTCAATAATGAATCACTTTACAAAAATTTAACTTATCACAATTTTGTTATTCCTTTTGAATTATATACATTTTTTAACAACAAAATTAAATAAACGACATCTTCTTTTTAACTTATTTTATAATATCTTTAAAAATCTATCAATTATAGAATTCTTAATAAAAAACTTTATTATTGGGTTGTCCGGAAAATTCATGCCGACTAACCTATATAATTTAATAAATGTATACTAAAATTTAAATCTTCTGCGTTTCAATTTTCCTTCAAAATCGGCACGAACTTTCCGGACAACCCAATATATTATGTATACGAAAATATTCAATATTTATTTAAAAAATATATCGTAAGTTATATTTTCAAATTTTAGCTACTTTTCACTTTCCTTAAAATAAATTTTGAAAATGATATGTTCCATTCATTTAATGTATAATATGATAAGATATTTTGAACATATTTTTAATTATTTTTAATAGTGTGTTGCAAAAACTAAACCGGTTTTTTCCAATTCTCCAAAGATTAGATTTTTTTGTATTTCTGAAATAACTGAAATTTAAGTATTCGGAAATTCAAAAACACGTTTAGATTCCCATTACAAGCAATCGCGACGAGGGAATTTGATCGTTCTATAAAGAATTGACATAAATAAATGCGCTCACTATAAATAAGCATAAGATTAACGAGCTCATAAATAAATTTTGCACGTGCGACGCTTGATAATGATGCAGCGAGGCATTTAGTATTCATGCAGAGAAGGTGACTCATAATCCTATCTACCTACCGCTCCGTAATATAACGGGTGTAAATAAAATCTCGAGTCGAACGGCGACGATGACAAGCAAGTGCGATAAAAACGTGCATGCCCGGCGGAAAAACTCGACTTGTCCGCAGCTGTTAATTAAGTAATTAATCTTAGAACGAGAACGAAAACCAGATCCTGTCGGGATCGTTAACATCGGTTGTTAATACTTCGACACGAAGGGTACTTAAAGACTGATTATTTTAATGATTTGTAGTGCAATAACAGTAGTGTAATATCTCATTAATGTACACTGTCAATCTTTTGTTGTTCGATGCATACATAAAAGAAAATATTTTGAAAAAAATTACAATTGGAAATCTTGCAACAATTAACAATTCTCTGAGATAACTGCCAATTAAGTCAATCAGAATTTTATTTTATCAGATAGTTTCTTTCTTCGCGGAGACTATGTATATATATCTATATATAAAATAATAATTATAGCTAATAATTACTAATAATTAGCAAAGTGTAAAACATTTTCCAGGAATTATATATTAATATAATGCAGATATTATTCAAGGAGATTGCAACCTTCAGTTCCAAAAGAAACAGATAACTTTCCAGGAAATAGATGTGTCTTGTTATCGAGTTCCACATATCGCATTATTTTAATTGCTTTACAAGAGCCTTTGCTTGGCTCAATTTTTTTTCAATTTAATGCTTATTTTAAAAGATAAATTATTTTAAAAGATTTATTACTAGTTTAAGTTGGTGACCTATGCAAATTACGATAAATTAAGTAAATTGTTCTGAATATTAATTTAGATATTCGCGGTGCATCATCTTTAACTGGTCAAATGAACTAGTCAGAACAAGAATTATCGATACATGGTAAAATAGTATTGCTTCAATCAAAATCCGTCAATAAAAAATATTTCAGATAATAAAATCAAACAATCAAGATTCAAGAAGAGATTCAAGATGCAATGTTAAATTTAACAGAATTTACACATTTTTACAATTTTTTTTTGGAAAAATATTAACAATTTGTCTTAACATATATACATACGTTTAGGACGGAAAAAAGATAAGAAAGTATAAAAAAGGCACAATATAAAAAAAAGAAGTTTGTTTATTTAAAGTTATTTATTATTTAATACACTAAATATTTTTTTATTCAAATTATTTAACCTCCGTACATCACTTTAACACGTTCGTTATCACGATGTGATTGGAAAAACCAACTCCACAACCCAAGCTTTTCTTGTGATACTTTTACACAACACATTCAAAACAAACCTCATTTCTTTACATAATCATAAAACTTAACGATGTCACATACTACTGTGATCAAAAAATAAGGTGAAATTTTTAATTTAAAATACGCGCGCTCTTCGATTCTGACAAATCTTTTTTTTTAAGTTGGCAGCACTGTCACTGACATCTGTGCCAAACTTCATGTCAATACCTGCATTTATCTAAATAGTTACGCGCGTGTTTTGAAACAACAAAAAGTTAATTTAGCGATTTTTACAATGTCTGATTTTGTTGAGCAAAGAAGTTGCATTAAATTTTGTTTGCGGAATGAAATTTCTGCTGCAGAAACATTGAGAATGTTGCAGAAGGCCTTCGGTGACCAGGCTATGTCACAAAAAAATGTTTACAAGTGGTATAAACAATTCAAAGAAGGCAGAGAAAGCGTTGAAGACGAAAAAATCGCTCTGGACGACCATCAACATCAACTGATGAATAACACGTGAATGAAATCAAAGATTTGGTGATCAAAAATCGTCGATTGACAATTAGAGATTTCGCTGATACTGTTAACATTTCATTTGGATCAATCTAGACCATTTTGAAAGATGTTTTATGCCTGAAAAAAGTGAAGTGGCACTCGTTTGGTGCCAAAAACACTCAATTTTTTGGAAAAATAGCGTCGCGTTGAAGTCTGTGAAACAATTTCTGAATATCAGGATAAGATAGAATGCATAATAACTGGAGATGAGACTTGGATCTATGATCCGGAAACAACCGACCAATCAAGCGAATACCGTGCAAAAGGTGAATCAAAATCAAAAAGATCGTGCCAGTCATTCAAAAATCAAGATCACATTAACTAAGTTTTCTTTGATCGTTATCGTGATGTAGTGCATTATGAATTCCTAGCGCCGGGCCAAATTGTTAACAAGGAATATTATTTGAGCGTTATGCAACATTTACGTGAAACTATTCACAAAAAGAGGCCAGAATTATGGGCAGACAATTCTTGATTTTTGCACTACAATAATGCACCATCTCACACTGCATTGATTGTTCGAAACCATTTCGCCAAAAATTCAACTCATATCGTTCCACAACCACCGTATTCGCCTGATTTAGCACAGTGTGACTTCTGGCTATTCTCTAAGCTCAAGAGACCGCTCCGGAGACACCGTATCGACACGATTGAGGAGATAAAAACCGAATCGCTGCGCGCTTTGAAGGCCATTCCGAAAATCGACTTTAACAATTGTTTCGAGGATTGGAAAAAACATTGGCAAAAGTGTATTGTATCCAGAGGGGAGTACTTTGAAGGCGATAAAAGGAATGAAGATTTAGAAGAATAAATAAAAATTTTAAAAGTTATAAACAATTTCATCTTATTTTTTGATCACAATAGTATATGACGTTAAACTCTCGAAACAAACTGGCATGTCACACATATGTGACCCGTGGTACCGAAAGTGTTGATTTAAACGAAAAATTCGTAAATTTTTAGTACAGTACTTTACAAATGATAATTTATTGCATTATGATTACTTCACAACTGAATTAATTCCTGGATCTTCTGTATGGATCCAAGTAATAGTATCCGTTACTATACAGAATTAATAATTATTTGCGTACTCTTAAAGAGTAATATTATATCCAACCAATATATCCAATATTATATATTCGTATCATTTGGTTTCCTTCGTCGAATTCGTTAACCCAAGATTGTCTAATAATGCTTGTGGGCTCGGATCTCTTCCCCTAAATTGCCTGAATACCTCGGCGGCAGGATAACTACCGCCCAAAGATAAAAACGTGTTACGGAATCTCATACCTAATTCCTTATGCTGTGATTCATCGAACTTGATCTCTTGAAAAGCCGTGTATAAATCGGCAGCTATCATCTCAGACCAAATTTTGCTGCAATTTAACGATTAAACAGATTAGATCAACGCTACATTGTAAATAACTACTAACAATTATATAAACAACTGTGCTTTATTACTTCATTAATATTATTACTTCATTAAGAAAAATTTCGCACAAATATAGATTATCCTAAATTTTTTGGCTTGTGAACAAGTAGACCGGACTAAACTGAATAGTTAATAGATAATTTATAGTTAATAGATAGATTAATTTCTAAAGATTGCTGATGAGCGGGTAAAATTGGCGCATAAATTATCTTTTAAAGTTCTTTATAAAATAAAATTTACTCCTTTTTTTCTTTATTTATCTTTCAGAGTTTTTTATGAATTATATTTAAAGGATGTTTTTTGAAGAATTCTTAAAGATTCTTAAAATTGTTTTATGCTTCGATTTCAGATATTCTGCTCATTAGGTAATTAAAAAAAAATTGTAAAAATTACAAAATGATAGAAGACTCAGTTTAATTCGCTCTACATGCCCACAAGCGGTGTATCAAAAAGTTTGAAATATCCTGTATAATTTGAGATAACAATTATATATAACTATCTTAAATTAAAATCAATTTGCAAAAATTCTCTAATTCGTATAAAATTGATAGATAATACCTGAAATACGCGGCTGCCCAATTGCCACTCCATATAACATCGAAATTGCAAACATGAACGTCCCTTTTTTCGAGTGGCAACACGAAATATTTCGGCCATAGGCGTTTCATGATAGTTACCCAAAATGTTTCACTGCAATTTTTTCAAAAATAAAATAAAACGATGTAAAGATCAATATTGTTTCAGAATTGTCAAATTATTATATTGAGAGAATGACAAGCGTTTTGTTTGTTTTGTAAACATTGATGTAATAAGATATAAATATATGGTGTTTAAGACCACTCCTAGTGATCTGACCACTCCTTTTAAGATAAAGTAAAGTAATTTTTATCAAAAATCTCCAAAATTTAGTAATATTAAGTACATCTTCATCAAATGATGTTTTCAACTTTGGATTCTAATTAAAAATAGGATCTATTGCTTTTATTTACACCTTTTTGAGTAGAAATCGGCTCTTTTTTAAAATTCTCCTTTTTTTTATTTATTTTCAAGATTACTTCAAGATCAATGGAAGTATTTAAAAAAAGTTTAAAACAAGTTTCTTGTTTTTTTTTTACATATATACATTAGAAAATAACACGTTACGTTAAAAAAATTCATCCGATAAAGTAACCCATTTTTGATCGAAACTATAAGTTGAAAATATTATCATTCGATAAAGCATAATTATATTTCTCTTAAATAATTTAACAAAAAAATTCAGGATTAATTCAACAGATTTTTTGCAAATCGAAATTCACCTGGAATGCAGCTCCAGATCCAAATGTGACAAATAAAGTTCTTTACAAAGCTTATAGCCAGCCAAATGCGATCTCATTTTTTTAATACTGTCGATAGCCTCCGCAGGTAATGGTTCCTTCGTTTCGTAATGTTCAGAGATTTTTTGCAACATAAATGGTTCGTACAACCTATATTCATCAAATATATACACAAAATTGAATTACATATTAGACATTAATTTATTAATTAATTAATTGCAATATTGACACAAGCATATTAAAAATATAAAGAAAGTAGGTAAATAAATAGAATAAATAAAAATAATTTTATTTTATACCAGTTCTCCATGAAGAAATCACATATGAATACTGCATCCCATTCCACAAATGACAATCCAGCAATGTCAGAATACTCGATCGTAGTTAGTAAATGTTGCAAAGCGTGTCCAAACTGTAATGTGTAACAAATAAAAGATCAATGGTTTAACAAATTAAAGATGTATATATAAATCTATTATAATTTTATAATATATGTAACCTATTACTTTTTGGAAAAGAATCTGTATGTCCTTGAAGGAAAGAAGAGAAGGTTTATCGCCTATCGGGGGCGGAAAATTGAAGATCATAGCGATCAATGGAGTGCTATTGCCGACTTTGCTCTTGCTTTTGATCGTGGACACCCATCCCGAGGCTTGTTCTTTACGGAACTTCTCCGTTCCTCTGGCGTAGGGATCTAGGTAGAAATTCGCGATGGGTGCTGCATTGGATCCGTTCAAATCGAATATGTCGAAGAACCAGACATCTTTATGCCAAATGTCCGCTTTCTTGCTTTCGACGATTTTCACATTAAAGAGCGTCTCGATGTGTTTGAAAAGACCCGACAACACAGTCGGTAGTGGAAAATACTCTTTCCACTTGTTTTCGTCACTGAACAAACACGGAATTAAACAAAGTATTTAAAGATATATTATTGTATAATATTTTATTCGATATTATAAACTTTTAGCAAATATCAATATCTTAAATGATACTTGAATTCTATAATGTAGGATATTTTACATTTTCTTTCAAATAATTATATTCTCTTTAAAATGCAATCGCGCGAACGCAATATAATTCTTTAATATATAATATAAATACATATGTTATATTAAAAAAAAAAAAAAAACAACTTTTCAATATAGTATTAAAAAAATATATGTAGGATATGTCTTGCCAATTTACTTACATATACATGCTATGACGTTGTTTTCTACCCCAAAATGCAATATCCCATACCCTTATAATATCATTGAAATCTCTCGTCTTTGCAAATTCGGTTAAATTTGCAATTTCCTTTTCTTGAATCGGTAATGCTTAAAAAAAACAGATAATTATTCATCAATTTCACATAATTATTAATCGAGTAATATTATCAAAAACATTGTCTATTATTTATAATACTTTATATTCATAATTTTAATAATATATTAATAAAAATATATTTTTTTTAACAGATCTAATTAATAATAAAACATTATCGTTCTTTCATAATTTCAACAAATTGTCAAATTAATTTTAACAAAATATAACTGCTCTAATAAATTTTCAATTATTTCTCTGTATTATATTTTTCATTCATAATAAATTAATTACCAGTACTCCGAAGAACTTCTAGCATGTTGTACAGATTCTCCAGATTACCGGCCATCTTTGTCTTCATGCTCATCTCTGCATAATTTTTAAATCCCAAGCGCTTCGCCTGTTCAATTCTTCTTGATCGGAGTTCCTCCAATGTCACACTGGCCTGAACAGATCTTTCCTGATAATTAGAGCACCGGATGACATCGGCATCCCAGATTGCCTCTCTCAATTCACGATTAGGACAATATTCTAATTGAGAAAATATAAATCGATAAAAATTTTAAGTCTTAAAAATTTCAAGTCTTTTTTTTAAATAAAAATATGAAGGATGCATACCCATAAACGGTTGCAGAATATATGGCTTTAAAGTGATTTTCCAAGGACCCATGTAAGGTTGTCTAGGATCAATCGCTATGGATTTGAGATAGTCTTCCGGAAAATCTTCCACGACATGTTTGTTATATATTACCATACTATATACAGCTGTAGAACTCTAAAAAGATCAAGTTAAATTTCAGTTTGTTGCTATGCTTTTTTCGAGACAAATTCAGTATAATAAAAATACACTATAACAAAAATAAAATCCTATTAATAATGATGCTTTTTTAAATATAATTAGTCCGGTAGCCTTTTCTAACTTTGTCATAATTATTACAAATCTAATTACAAGTTATGTGATAGACCTCATATTTCGCTTTGTATTCCTTGATTTTCGATATAATGAAATTCAAGTCAGCTGAATACTTCTCGAATTCTTTTTCTTGTAGATTCAGACCATTTAAAGTTCCTTCCAGCACATACTTGGTAAGCACTCTCCTCTGCGAATGTGTTAATTTGATGTCCTTATTCTCTAATGCTTCCTTGCATGCTCTAAAGAGTGGCGCACTGCCAAATTTGCTAGCTATGGCTCTCGTAGCACGTTCATGAATACTCATATAGCATTTTGTTGGCATCAAACTTTGATTGCCAAAATACAAAGTCTTTGCTATGCCCCAAGTCGTCTCAAGAGGAAGATATGCATCCTCAATTGGAAGCAACCATTCATTAAATACATCTTTTGCTGTAAAAGATTATAAAAATTAAAAATCGTAATTATACATATTGGAGCATATTTCTTTTTATTCAAGATTTGTATCATATTAATTTTATTACTAAACAATTATAAGAAAATCTCTTAATATTATTTATTCTCTTTCAATTCATATCATATTCAAAATTTGCTTGTACAATGTATTTAAATATTAATTATACAGCATTAAAATAATTTAATACTTAAATATAATCAATACTTAAATATATTTAATTAATATTTTCAATATAAAATATTTTTTAATAATTAAGTAATACTTCACCTTTGGTTGATACTTAATACTTACAAGTTATTTTTTCCAGACTTTTCAACTTTTCTTCAAAATCTACAGTTTGTTTTCCAATAGCTGCTACACATTTTTCAATTGTAATTGTGTTAAATTCTGGCAAATTGTCATCCTTCAGTAAAGGATTTTTCTCTGACGATTCCTCACCTATTTCTGGAAGTCTTGACACAAAAGAAAAGAAGTAAAATTGTATAAGGTGCACAAATGTACAAAACAAATGCAAATATACAAAATAAACTCAATTTAAATACCTAATGAATATAATTAAACAAAACATAAATGTAAAAAAATGGATCTAAAATAATTTTGTACTTTGTTAATATATTTAATTATATATATTAATATATTTAGGATATATTTTTTAATATATCCATTTAATAACAATGTAGATATTTAAAAACATGAATTAAATGACATTACAAAAAGTTTATTTATATTACATAATATATAAATTATACATAAACGTGCAATAAATATATAATTAAATAGATGAGAAATATTAAAAAACAATAAAAATAACTCATAAATGTACAATATATAAATTAATCAAAGAAAATTAAATGAATAACAAAGAATGCAAATTTAAAACACATGAATGAAAATATAGACAAAATTTTGAATTTTTAAACATCAAAAATATAGTTGAAATAGTAATTAATTAATAAAGATAAAAAAAGAATCCAGTACTAAATATATGCACAAATGTAAGGGAAACACAATAAAATGATATAAAACGCAGTAATCGCATTAAAAGAACACGCGAGAATCAGTGGAACCTAACCTCTATGTGATAACAAAGTAAAGAAAGATAAACTTACAAGACTATATATCCGTTTCGTTTCGGAATTTTCAAGAAATTCCGTTGCGTTAAAGCGATTCTTTTACTCAAAAAGGACACCGCCATTTTACGCAATAAGACAATTTCTTTTCAAATGTGAAAAACTCATCGTATAAACTAATCGAAATAGCTCCAACCTAAAAGCCACTAAGACTCCATCGACACATCGGAATCATACGATCTATCGATATCAAACGATATCGCCGCGCGATTAGAATCTGATCAGACTTGCATCGCATATTTATTTAATAACAGGACTGATATTTTTACATTTAAAATTCCATTTCAAATATAATTCTATTTAAAATGCTAAATATAAAATACTTAAAAAATGTACATTAATATGTACGTAGGAAAAATCATTCTGTATTTGAAAACTATTTAAAATATCTATTTAACCATTTTACATATAAAGTGGATTCGAAAAATATTTTGCATTTTAAATACATTTTTTAAAATATTTTATATTTTTTAAATGATTATTTAACTTGTTTATTGATTAATCTGTTTATTACTAGCAAAGTTCTTTCTGATAACAGCTAAATCCATGGGCATGATTTCATCGCTCTGATGCTTTTTTCTTTGAATATCTCTTGCTTATATCATGAAAATCATTCATGAACGAGCAATACACGTCAACAGAAGAGAGCATTTACTCGTAAACAAGAATCATTTCATTTGTTTATATGTAACATGATTTTATAAGGTGGACAAAAAAGATAATTATGTATAAACAAATGCATACATGTATCATGAACAATTAAATCCCATAAGTAATTTAAAAGAAAGTACATATAGCGGTGGTAAAATTTATGATTTATTTATAATTTTTTTTTAGAAGGACAAAAAATTATTTTTTATGTATAAATGTGGATAAATAGCGGACACTCGAATGCGATGTAGATTTTACCAAAATTAGCATTTAGAAATAATGACTTGTACTTATATCAACAGTTGTCAAATCGGCACGCGATTTTATTACCAGCTAAGAAAACGAATATTAAAATAAATAATATTAACTGCTCAGTAAATGAGAATGGATTGAAATGAATTGAAATGGATTCAGATTTTCAGAAATATTCGGAGGAATCATGAATGTTAAAATGAATGCTTTTCCATTCTGAATGCATTTTATTCATTTATAGGAATTGCATGGAGCATATGCCTTTTAATCTAAAAATAATATTAGCTTTTTCTATGTGCACAACATAAATTGTAAATACTGTTCAATTTAAAATTTTAAATAAGAAATGCAGTTTTTCAATCCAATTGCATCCAATTGAATCCAATTAAATCCAAAAAAGTATTCGCTATTTAAAATACGCATTCGGATAGAAAAAAATTTCAATCTATTTTAATCCATTCTCGTTTACTGGCATTTCACTTTATAACATAACTTAAAAAAATTTATTAAAATCCTTGATAATAATAAGTGTAAAAAAAAATCATACATTAAAATACATTAAAATAATCACATTAAAACAATCTGCCTTTCGACGCGCGGATCAACTGATTGGTCTGAGTTTGAAAGATGTTCGAAAAGGAGAACACTCGCGAAACACATTTCAAACATTTATTTAGAAATTAACAATATATTGCGTTGGAACAAAAGTTCGTAACGTTACTCATTATCATATGCTGCTATGTCTTTAAAAAAATTGGACAATTATATATGTCAAAGTTTTAGCATTAAGAATCTGTTTTTCGAATTGCGATACAATGAGTTTTAACAAAGTTATAAACGATCAAAATGCTCCTTTTATTTAATCTATCATAACTTAATAAAAAAAAAATTAAAACATTTTTAAAAACGGATTTTGTAGAGAAAATTTTAAGTTCACGTTAGAAAATTTTTCACGTTAGAAAATTAAAAATTTTTTTGGATATGTAACAGATTCACAAAGTAACATATTCACAAAGTAAAAAGGATTTCTCCTTTCGATCAGCTCATAATTTTCTTCTTCTTCTTTTTACATTAGGCTTCTAATGCATACGCTGATTATTCAATTGTCACAAATGTATGGAACCTACAGTTTTGCCGGTTGCGAGCCGCGGATTTTTCGAGAGATATGTTTCATATTTTTCTATATATAAAAATTACTAAATTCATAGAAATTACAAAATATAATAACCTTTCAAAAATAGAGCTTTAAAACCTTTTTTTTTTTTATTTAAATTTCATTCATATATAACGAAATTATAGTTGTTTGAATTTTGATTTGTAACATTACGAATTTTTGTTCTAGAATTTTCAATACGTGGAAAGAAAGAAATACGATCATATAATACAACAATGCGCATGATGAATAGACGATGCAATACGCACATATTTACAACGGTCGTGAATATTATAATGCGATCACAGATGATCGAGAATGACTATAAAGATAAGTGTAATTCTATTACAATGAATCAGTCGGTATAAATCAGCCGGGATCGCAGTCGCGTACACAAATGATAATTAGGCGCTCCCAAACAATAGCCACGATTAACGAGCGGACTCGAGCACTGAAGAGCAGTTACATTATAGATACTTATAATTACATACTACACGACTTTTGTAATCCACGTTTTGGTTATACTCATAAGAAAACGGGCGGAGAAAACCATATTGAATTTGGCAAACATTGCAGCAGTGTAATGTTTCTTCTGCTATCGAGAAGATTCTAACTAATATTGTCCTTTGTCGAGGAAATATGCCATAAAGTTAAAAAAAAAAATGTTGCTATTTTTCGACGTCGATACTTGCCTAATTACTGCGATTGAATACGTAAAAAATACTGAGTGTTTTTCTTTTTAGAAAAAAAGCGATTTATGTGTAATAAAAAATTTTATAAAAATTACATTTTTATAAAAATAATAATCCTTATATAAAAAGAGAGAAAAAGAAAAAAAAATTTATGTTTAATATAGCAAATATGTAAATTTATTCAATACTTTTCAATTTTTAAATACTTTTGAATTTAATTCGACCCATTCCTACGAATTTTAGATCAAATTTAAAAAAAGTCAAATTTTCAAAATTAAAAATGACATATCCATTATGGCATATCTCGCATAATCTCTTAGCACAAATCTTAACATTTATTTAACATTAAATTTAAATTGAATTCAGTAAAACAATTACTAATATAAAAAATTTGTCTGCCAATATTGAACCCATCATTTTGAAATTCTAAAATTGGACTTTAGGCTCGTAATTAGCGATCTAAGAATATTATATATATAAAATATAAAAATATTAATAAAAATCACAAATATTAATAAAAATCGTCTATCGAAAAAATGTTCTACAAATATACTTTATAAGGATTAATTATTATTATAATAAGGATTATTTTTCTCCGGAATTTTATCAATTTCATCGATGTCCTCACACCACTCAAGTTTAACCAAAATCATTTCCTTAGCGAGCGGCACATCGCACTCACTGTGGTCTGCGAAGCCTTATAACGTCCGCGATTTGAAAAATTGAAAAGAAGTGCGGATGATCAACTGGACATGTGACAAATCTGCCACTGGGAAACGATGCATCTTCGAGATACATCGTTATAATATAATAGATTATGTCTCCTTTTCCTGTGTATCACAATCGTCAATAGGCAATACCTTTTTATTTTCGCGGTCATATCGCAGCTTGCTAAGGCGGAACCATTCGCTTGCTATAGTTTCAAATTCGCATTCGTTGATACCCCTGGCTCTTAACACAACTAACAAATACATTCAATACAGTTAATATTACAACTAAAATCCTTATGAATTTTGAAGAAATAAAAATATGCAACTTATTAAAATAACTTACTTTTTAGAACTTGGATACATTTTAAATCGCACATGCGATAATTATTCCCGCGACCACACCAAGAACAACTTATGCCGAATTCATTTGTAAATAAACGGCTCATACACCGTTGTATCATATTTTTATTGCCTTTGCCTCCAATTCTTTTCATAAATTCCATCTTGAAAACATACAACTTAATTAGATCATATAAACATATTCATAAGCAATTAGATAAATAATAAATGAAATGTAATTTAATATACTACTATTATAATAAATAATATTTATACTTTTTTAAAAATTAACTTACAAATTTCGTTTTTATTTCAGCTGTTTCCATGCTTTCCTCAAATCGTTTAAGATTTTGTATAGAATTGATCGGAAGTATGTCATCGAATACATTCATTCCTTCAGGTTCTTCCTCATTAATAACGCCTCTTTCCAAAACTCTCAGTCTCCTATCGATGCTTTTTACATACCTTAATGTTTCTTCACAAACCGGAATTAGCTTTTCTGAAATGAAATCAATTATAACGTATAAATTTTCTTTTATCATATTGCTTCTAATCAAAATACATTGAGTTAAAGTATTATATGCTTATAATGTATATAATAATTTAAGAAAAATAAATATAAAATATAATTCTTACCAATGTCACTAACCGTAGCTGACGGGGCAGTAGTTGAAATAAATTCAAGATCTAAAAGAAGTTATTGTATCAATTGTGAACATTTTATCATATATAGGTATTATATATTAACTTAAAAAAATAATTTTGAATTTTTACTTTGTACATTCATTTCTTGCGGTCCAAATTCAGACGATTCATTACACTCATCCATTTGTACTATTTGTAGTGGATCAACTATCTGTGTTTGTGATTTATCATACAATGAATGCTTTGGTGTAGATAAGGCGGCAATTTGTGAAATTTTATTACAAGAGAATTGCTTTTTATGCAACAATTGTTTGTCGTGCACAGATTTTTTTCCAGACGACTCCCAATTTTCGTTTATTTTTGTCTTTTTGTATGAAGTCTGTAATTGCGAAGATGAATCTGATAAAAAAATATAATAAAAATTAGTTTAGTGTAAACACAGTTTATTTTATGCTAAATTGTCGATACAGCATTAAAATAAATTTAAAAAATACAATTATTAAAAAAATTTTGATTTCTGAAACAATAGAAACAAAATATAATTTGATAAAATTAAATTACCGCAATCTTCATCTATACTGTCATCATAAGTATCATATGTATCGTCAAATTGTTTTTCGTGTATGATTCTTTTTTCATGCCTTCTGTTTTCATCACAACTTGCATAATTAGGATCTGCTTTTTTCCGTGTCTCTTCTAAAGAATCTGTAAATATGAAATTTTGTATTGATTGTTCTTACAAACTTACATAAAACATCTACTCTCTGACGGATTAATTTTATTATATTATTGATAATAAATATGTTACTGATAATTACAATAATCTTGCGAGAGATTTGAGTACTTATACAAAAAGTACTTATACAAAAGAACATTAACTTAAGTTTGGCTTACATCAAACTTAAGGCTAGCTTACACTCTATTACTTAAATATCATTTCTCTTTTCCTTTATAAACTTCCTAGGAGATTTCATAATCCTATCATAATTTAAGAAGGTGGGATATTCAATAAACAGGTGTTCTAAATTATCATCTGCTAAGGATGTCGTTCCAACAAAAGGGGATCATTTGTATATTTCAATAAATTACTCATTTGTATGTACTTCATTGTATAAATTAAAGGTTTGAGGATTTTAGAAATTTTTCCTTTTAGCCATAATTTTGTCTAATAATTCTCAATTTATGATATAAATAAGATCTATGGAACATTTTTATTTTTTTTTACTAATAAAATCGGTATACTTATCGGTTTACTTACATTTGACAAATTAATTAAAACAAATTTTATTTTAAGCCAAAAATGCAATCTGCTCATGATACACCAGTTGCTGACCAGTTTTTTAAAGATGTAATTCTATATATAAACCGCAAATTTAATAAACAATTATTTATCAAATCATTTATTATTTCTTTCCTTTATTCAACAAATAAACTTCTGTTTAGACATTTTTTGACAATTTGTATTTCCTCTTTCCACTATATCAATCTATTTAAATTGTCAGTGTATAGTGGAAATTTGATAAAAAATAAATACATATAACCAGCTCATTTTTTTTATTGATAACTAATATAATAATATATAAAAAAGATCAAAGGGAACAAAAACAAGGCATTATAAAATATTTTTAAAAATTTAATATGTTCAATATATGAAAATTAGCGAAAATAATTTCAATTTTAAAGTCTTCTTCAGTCGCATATGAATTATAATAATTAAACTTCAATTAAACTTAGTCATGGTATAAGAATTAAAAAATTAGAATGTTAAAAAGTGTGTAAAAATGATAATTTTATTAATTGAGAATAGAAGTCGCAAATAGTTGTAAAAGAATTGACCAAAAGGAAACACTAAATTTGCGGATAATCGAACTTCTATATTATTTATAGATAATTATTTATAGATAATCTCTATTTTTATTTTTATTTATACTAATTAGACGATTAGTTTGTGAAAAAAAAATTATAAAAATAGTCATTTTTCAAATTTAAACATTTTTAATCTAAAAAACTGTTGATTAAGAAAAAAGTTTAAAAGATAAAAAAAAAATTCATTTTGATCTAATTAAGCTTATATAATTTTTTCGGAATTTTTATTTAAAATTTAGGTTTTTTAAAGAAAAAAATTATTTATAATTATTCAACGATCACATTAAAAAATAAAATATATATAGATGTTTTTTTGCAGAATGTAGAGGAATCAAATTAAATAATTTTCAGCCACTACGTTACTTGAAAGGTTAATGAATTGAAAATGGAAATTATTCGTCTATCAATATCAGCAACTTTCTTCCATTAGAATACTAATTATTTTTCAATATACATTTCAATTTTCAAATTGCTGTTTTCAAACTCACCAATTGTATCGATATCTATAAACTTTAATTCAATAATATGATTATTCTCTTCCTCATTTTGTTTGTCTTCTTGGTTTTCTATATTACAGATTCTGTTTCTAGATGTAGATTTGGATGATGTATGATCCATTTGATTACACGAAACGTATCTTGAATTCATAGCACTATAATCTTTATTGACTTTGATATATCGTTTACACATTTGTCTTGATATTGTTTTACTATTTGACTCTTGATTTGCTTGAGTCAAATATTCATTTGATTTATTCTGACTGCTTTCTTCATTTAGCTTTTCATCACTCCTATCATTATCCAATTGATTAATAATATTCTCTTCATCATTTCTAGACATGATAAATATTTGGTTTTCAGTCAACTCCATTTTTGTAGCTATTTCACATGCCTTTTTAAATGTTAAATCATCCTCCATCAATAACCTCTGTTTAATTTGTTCTGAACATAAACCAAAGACGAATTTGTCTCTCAAAGCTTCATCCAAGAATCCTTCAAATTTACAATATTTTGACAGATTCTTCAATTTAGTTCGGTATGATTTAATATCTTCACTACTATCTTGATTTGCACTGTAGAATTTGTATCGTTCTGCTATTACAAGCCTTTTTAAATTATAATGATTTATTAATGTCTCTTTTAAAGCAGTATACGTCTTTTGACTAGGTAATTGTGGAGACAAAAGATCTTTTAAAACATTATAAGCGTCTCCCCCTAATAAAGTCAAGAAAAGTGGCACTTTCTTCTTTTCATCTACATCGTTACAAATAAATAATTGTTCTATTCTTTCAATATAAGTCGTTATATCAGCTTGATTTGGATTAAATGGTTCAATATTTCCGATTAGAGACATTGTGCTGACTTTGTATATGTCTTATAATTCTATAATACGTAGTAACCTTGAATGGAATGTTATAAACTTAGAACATATTTAAGGTTATAAATAACGCACGTGGATTTTCCAGAGTCGTCACCAGATATGATCAGTTTCCGTACAGAAACTTACATAATGCATATCTTTTCTAATAATTAATTTGTCTTAACTTTATTTACTATTGATATAATTAGAATAATCTTACGTATCAAAGAGTATCAAAGAGCACCGCCAATCTGGATACTTTAGACGCCGGATATGAAAAAAAAGAGATAGATCCATGCGTGACCAGAATAATCAGATGTTGTAGAGAGAAACCTGAGAGTGGATATCTTAGCTTTTTTTCTGTACCAAACCTCATAGGGTAATGTCCACGTTTTTGTGGTTTTTTTCCGTGCTATTATGTGGATTTTTCTGGTGAAAATTTTTCTTAGAATTTTTCATATAATTTTTCAGAATTTCTATATAATTTTCAATATCATATTTATTATATGAATTAGCACTTTTCAGAAAATCTACGTCTTTTCTCAAAATTTTTCATATATGAATTAATTATGAAATATCGTAAGATTTCTAAAATTTTTTGTAAGTATAATTTCTGATGAAATATTATAAAAGCTAAAAAAAATATTTTTTTTTTAATAATAGGATGAGAAAATCTCAGAATATTTCAAAATATGAATATAACCATTCGAATATTTCTGAAAAATGTTTCAACTCCTATAAAAATTTATTTAAAAAACCACCAGGATTGACAAGGGTGAACAATCAACTTTGTTTATTCATCCTTATCACTGACAAGATACTATTTAAAGACCGACATTCTTATGGGAGATTCGCATTCTTGAGAATATTAAAATGAGTTAATATTAAGAGTTAAAAACTGATAATATTGTACTTATTTTATGATTTATTAGTTTAATAGACATCTATGCGTTTTATTTATCCGTTTAGAACTCAAAAATACTCGATTTTTCTTTAAAATTGTGATTTCAGTGTTATCATCAAAATTTGATTATCAATTTGATTATCAACAGAGATGATAACTGCAGAAAAAAAATTGTAATTTTTCTGCAATGTATAAGATATTATAGCTTTATATGTATGCATATTTGTTTATGGAACATTTATATCATAAAAAATCATGAATTTAGTAATGCTTGAGCCAAATATTTATGTTAATAATAACAAATTTAAATCAATAATAAAAAATTTATATAATTTTCACCTCGTTTCAAGATACAGAATCGATTTCCTGATTTATGACTAATGGCTTATTGTAGAATGGCCATTACAATAAGCTATTAGTCATAAATCAGAAGTCAAGAGGTCGATTCTGTATCTTCAAGGTGAAAATTACAAAAACGAGCAAATTTACTAGATGTTGACCAATGAAATAATCAGTATTCTAGTAAATTCGCTCACTTTTATGTCCCATTTTATTCATAATCAGACCTTATACTTAAAAGCTTTCTTAAATTTATCTTTAGATGCTCAGCAGCCAATGAAATAATTCGTAGAATATCTAAAGATAAATTTAAGGAAGCCTTAAATATAATATAAGGCCTGACTATGAATACGAGTATTATAATTTTCACCTCATTTCAAGATACAAAATCAATCCCCAAGAGATAAAAATTGTGTCCCCAAAAGATAACAATTGACTGTGGTTAATGTTTAGTTTCTGACTTCTAAATTATGACTATATAACGGCTTATTGTAAAAGGACCATAACCACGTAATAGTAACTAATACTTTCCAACTAGTAACTTTCTATCGAATTATCTTAATTTCGGCGATGCATATAAACATAAATATATGATATGAGTATTTAATTAATCATTCTGATGCACATTGTACCAAAGTTTAGTACATCGTTCTTTAAATACCTTGAAATTAAGATAATTTAATAGAAAGTTACTAGTTAGATGTAAACAGGGTCACGCACGTTTGGAATCATTTCGAACATCTGGCATCTGTAAAATGGCATCCCTGATTGCTCTGTGATGCGATGTTTCGTTTTGAGGTTAAGTATCGATCAGTGCGCTGGTGCCGTCTCGGCAACGACGGGGACGCGAGAGTGATGCTCGTCATGTTTTCATCTCGGCGGATCCCGCCGATCCGCGCGAGTTAGAAGTCAGTGCCTCCGTTACAATGACAGTGTGCTGATCGCTACAGCGAAACATGGCGCAGTCTATCCTCGATGTTTTGACAGGTAAGGCGAGTGTCGACCGAAATAGGCGGGGTTGACCGATCCCGGAAACGTCAACAATCCACCTCGAGCCTTCGTTCCTCGGGCATGGAATAGACTGTCATTTTCTTTCTGCATCGCATCTCCACGAGCTCGTCTTGCGACGATAATTTCAAGTACGCTAGGTAGTACGAGAGACTGAAAGTGCGCAGATTTTTAGGGTTTGAAAGACATAAAAAATGGGGATCGTCGACTTAACCTGCCTCGATGCATCTTATAAATTTGTAGCGATCTATGCTTTGCGTACTCCCAAAATCATACTTTTATAATCTGAAGATGTTTGTTGTATTACTTGTTCTTGTTTAATTATTTGAATATTAAAATGAGCAGGCTCTGAAATAATAATTCAAAGGCTAGAAAGGAAGCCAAGAGCCAACACAGTTATTCATGTATGAATTGTTATGTTATCAGAGAATGGAAGTACAATAATACTCCGTTACTTTTACCGTTATTTTTTTCTAATAATGATTTGATAATAACGCTGCAATTTTTTATGATTGTAACAATAACTAAATGCTAAGGTTGTATTAAGGTTGGAGAAGTCACATTGAAAAGTTGTCACCGCTATATTTTTATGAAAATTATTTTGAAAAAAATAATTTGTTACTTGTAATGCAGTGATGCACACATTACTTTATTTGTTACAAGTATATAATAGTAAAAGTAACTTATTGTAAGTTACTTTTTTTCAGAAACAAGTAACTTTTTGAATCTGTTACAACTTTGACTTTTCCAATTCTGGTTACCATTACCATCATAAAAAAATTTGCAACGTCATAACCAAATCATTATCATAATAAAATAATGATAAAAAATAACACACGCTTCTATTTCCTGATACATATTTATAATAATTATTATTAATGTAATAGTTGATCTTGTTTAATTATATATTGAAAATTTAAGTAAGTAAGGCTCTGGAATAATAATTCGAAAACTAGAAGGAAACTTATTACATGCTATTTATGCATGTATTATTGTATTTGCAATAATTGATATACAATGAATAATGTAGTTGTTTTTGTTTCATTATATATTTGAAAATTAAAATAAGGCTCTGGAATAATAAATAAATAATTCAAAGGCTTCTTAGGGAAGGAAAGCCTATAAAAGTGAATACAGTTTGTGTATAAATTATTGTACGTATTATTGACAATAATTAATATACATTGAACAATCATATTGTAAATGGTTCCAGATTTGATCCTCTTCAGTGCATATTATACATGTATAAGTTAGGATTCATAAATTCTCTAATCATGTAGTCAAAAGAATCAAATTGTTAAAAAATTGAAGTCATCAATGGAAATATGATAGATCTGATTATTGAGACTCATTATAGTTCATTATAGAATTTAAAATAGAAAAACTAATACGTACATTTATATAAATGAATTAAATTTGAGTCAATGATTAAAATAAGAAGAATGAACGATTTAATTAATTAATTAAGAAATTAATTATATAAATAAGTGAACAATTGTATCTCATATCTTAATTATTTGATGGTTTTACAGATGTCTCGCTGGATGGTTCCTCTGTGCAATCCTTGCTGGAGTCTCAAAACTTGATAGCTGAAGTCGAACAGTCAGGTACTTATACTTCAGAAGATGAATCTGATGATGAATCTCTAAAAAAAATGGATTATTTAGACTTCTTTTTTTGAGTTATAATAAATTAAAAAACTTATTCAATAAGTTTTTGTCTTTCACATAAAAGTAAAACATAATATTCTGATGTGATTTGACATTATATTATTATAATAATGTAATAGTTATGATTTTAAGATTTGCTATACTAAAACTGCCACAGCGAAAACCAAATAGTTCAAATATTTTTTAAAATCTATAAAAGTAAATCTGTTTATTGATTTTTGCTTTAGATTTATTCTTTAAGCACACAATTGAGATGTATTTACGAGTTATTGTGTATATATATATATATTGTGTATATATATATTATATTATAATTGTTATTTTATTTTGAATATATTTCAAATATATCTGCATTTATGTAAATTTACTTCTTTTGGAAGTAATTAAACAAAAGATTAGACAGGAATTAGAATAAATGTTTTTTAAAAAATTTGACAAAATTAGAACATATTTTGATGAGGCAATATAATCTAAACCCAATTCAAATTTCTCGTTAAAAGATTATAATTTAAGACTCAAACTGAAGTTATGAACTTAAGTTATAAATTTAAATTTCAATGATAGAATTTTAATATTAACAGCGCGAAAATTTGAAATGTATTTAATTATGTTATATCCCTTCTAGAAATATATTCTCTGAAAAAAACATCTCTGACATTTTTTTCATGATGGAAAGATATGTATTTCAAATAGTTAATCTATTAACTAATTGTTTAGAAAAGAGAGACAAATTCTTATGAATAAAAATATTCCAAAAATAACATAATTATGTACATGTTAATATCTTCTCATGTATATGTTAATTATATCTTACATATTGTACAAATCGTTACATAATATTAACATATCTTCACCAGCGATTGATCAGGATGAGGAAGACATATTCCAATGTGGCAAATGTAAAAGTCAGTTTACATCACTTCAACTGTTCATACTCCACAAGAGAACGCATCAGAAAACGCAGCAGCAAACAGTAGACTTGACTCAATTTCTAACAAACGATGAAAGTCAGGTAATGCATGTAGAAGATGTCGTTCAAGATGAGTCGCAGTACAATTCGCAGGAAACCTTTCAGCTTGGAGAACCTATTATTCTCGAAGAAGCAGACATGCTATTTAGGTATGTTGTCATTGATAATTGTAATTCAATAAATTTGAATTAAATATTTTCGTGCCGCTTTAAATATATAGATTATTCCTTGCTTTTGTAAAATTTATTCTTTAATGTGTATTATCTTTTTTTTTTAATCTGATCTGAATTGTTACAGTGTGGATCAGGAGGCTGCTAATTATTTCATGACAGACTCCACGTTCAGCGTGCCGATCATTT